GCATGCTGCAGTCCATGGGGTCACAAAGTATTGGACATGACTGAGTGACTGAACTGAACTGAGTACATTGCTTGATCCTGCATCTCTCTTTTATTGCATGCTCTGTCTTCTCTTCTAAGCTTCTAAAAATGTTATCCTGTATTCATCATCTCTACTCCCTCCCTTAGAAATTACCCTTTGAGCTACAGTCCCATTTATTTATTTATTTATTTTTTTGCTGGAGAACTCAGGTTTATTACGCTGGTGGGCCCAGAGGAGTTCACACTTCAAGCTCTGAGCCCCGAACAAAGGGTTACAGAGTTTTTTGTTTTTTGTTTTTTTCATGCTGATTATGAAATTTATTTATTTATTTATTTTTTCCATTTATTTTTATTAGTTGGAGGCTAATTACTTTACATCATTGCAGTGGTTTTTGTCATACATTGAAATGAATTAGCCATGGATTTACATGTATTCCCCATCCCGGTCCCCCCTCCCACCTCCCTCTCCACCCGATCCCTCTGGGTCTTCCCAGCGCACCAGGCCCGAGCACTTGTCTCATGCACCCAACCTGGGCTGGTGATCTGTTTCACCCTAGATAATATTCATGTTTCGATGCTGTTCTCTTGAAACATCCCACCCTCACCTTCTCCCAGAGTCCACAAGTCTGTTCTATACACCTGAGTCTCTTTTTCTGTTTTGCATATAGGGTTATCGTTACCATCTTTCTAAATTCCATATATATGTGTTAGTATGCTGTAATGGTCTTTATCTTTCTGGCTTACTTCGCTCTGTATAATGGGCTCCAGTTTCATCCATCTCATTAGAACTGATTCAAATGAATTCTTTTTAATGGCTGAGTAATATTCCATGATGTATATGTACCACAGCTTCCTCATCCATTCGTCTGCTGATGGGCATCTAGGTTGCTTCCATGTCCTGGCTATTATAAACAGTGCTGCGATGAACATTGGGGTGTACGTGTCTCTTTCAGATCTGGTTTCCTCGGTGTGTATGCCCAGAAGTGGGATTGCTGGGTCATATGGCAGTTCTATTTCCAGCTTTTTAAGAAATCTCCACACTGTTTTCCATAGTGGCTCAAATCTGTTTTCCCGAGTGCTGCGCGTCTGATGCAAAGTGACCAAAATTGCCAAGCCTAAGACTTAGTGGCTCCTTTGCACTTTCAGCAAGGGATCCCCAATGCAGACCACCTTCACAAGGACCTTTTAAAAAGCATAGATTAGAATCTTACTCAGACCTAATGAATAAGAATTTCCAAAGTGGGGCCTGAAAATTCTCTATTTTTAAAAGACTACCCAGGTTATTACAATCAGCCAGGTTTGGGAATCACCTGCCTCCAGGGTAAATCCAAATTCTGTCTGTGATCTGACAACCCTACTCCCAGCTTCATTCCTCAGAATGCATCATGTTCCAGCAATACTGATTCAGCAAGGACTAATGATTCTTCCAACCCATGTTGTTTACCATCTCTCTATTAAGAATGTCTTCTTCTCTTATCTGCTTGGGAAGGTTTTACTTGTCCTTCAAAAACTCTACTCAAGCATCATATAGTGTCTTAGCCAGTAAATATCAACAAACTAGCAAAATTGTTTACGCTAAGTATGCACAGTTCTCTGTATGTAAATTTTCCTCAATAAAGCTGTTAAGAACTTACTGAGTTCCTACTAAACACCACACTCTGACCTAAGCATTGTGATAAGCTACAATGGTATAACTGCCTTCAGTAAGTTCACATGTCATTGGAAGAGACGTACAAATATACAATATAATGCAGTGAGGGAAATTCTGTGAGTCTATGGTAGGCTAAGTAATGCCCCAACAAGATATCCACATCCTAAGCCCCCAGATCCATGAATATGTTTGTTTACATTGCAAAATATTGTGTAGATATTAAATTAAAGATTCTGAGATGAAGAGAATATCCTGGGTTATTTTGGTGGGCTCAATGTGATCACTAGAGTCCTTTTAAGATGAAGGCAGGTGGAAAGTGAAAGGAGATTGGAAGATGCTATGCTACCAATTTTGAAAATGGAGGATGGAAACATGAGTCAAGGAATGCATGTGGCCTCTAAAAGGTGAAAAAAGAAAATGAATTCTTCAGTAGAGACTCCAGAAGGATCCAGCCCTGCCACCTTTAGTCCAGTGAGATCCATTTTGGACTTCTGGCCTCCAGAAATTAACTGTGTTGTTTTAAGTGATCATATTTGTAGTCATTTGTTACAGCAGCTATAGGAGGCTAATACAGAGGCCAACACAGGGCATATGTACATAAAGGAGTACATAAAGACAGTCTCTACATCAAGTTATGGAGTGAGAATGGGATGTTCAGGAAGAATTACCCAGAGATAACGACATAAGACCTGAGGGAGATAGTGTTTCAAGGAAATGACATAGAGTAATAAGTACAGAGAGCATGCAAAGTGTTTCAATTTTGCAAGGCTATTAAAACAGTAAAAATAATATTAATTTTTCTAAGAGTAGATACCATTTGCATGCCAGGCACTCTTCTAAAGCACTTTTTAACTGTGAGCACTTTACAAGTTTGTATTTATCTTCATTTTACCTACAGGAATACTAAGATTTTGAGGGGTTAGTTTAACTATCCTGAGCTCATAGAGCTAGTAAAGGGCAAGTCTAAATCAGAAACTTGTTGGTCTGTCTTCAAAACCCACTAACTGCCTCTCTAATACATTGTAGTGGGGTCCTTAAGTAAGGTGGCAACAGGGTGAAGTGAAGTGAAAGTCGCTCAGTAGTGTCCAACTCTGCCACCCCAAGGTCTATACAGTCCATGGAATTCTCCAGGCCAGAATACTGGAGTAGGTAGCCTTTCCCTTCTCCAAGGAATCTTCCTAACCCAGGGATCGAATCCAGGTCTCCCGCATTTGCAGGTGGATTCTTCACCAGCTGAGCCACAAGGGAAGCCCAAGAATATTGGAGTAGGTAACCTATCCCTTCTCCAGCAGATCATCCTGACCCAGGGATTGAACTGGGGTCTCCCACATTGCAGGTGGATTCTTTACCAACTGAGTTATCATGCAACAGCATAGCTGAAGTAAATCAAGTATTAGAAAGATATTGAGGTGAGGTTCAGCAGAGCTTGGAATATCATCTTGTTTTGGACACTGACAAGATTGGGTTGATGGAGAGTCAGGCAGCCTCCAATCTTTCGTGATCGTGGTTTTGTTACTGAAATGCAAATTCATGTGACCAATGCACAGTGAGGTCAAACAATAACAAAACATTGCAGTTTGGAGTAGAGAAGGGTTTATTGCAGGGCCATGCAAGGAGATGGTGGTTCATGCCGTAAAATCCCAAACTCTCCAAAAGCTTTCAGCAAAACCCTTTTATAGAAAAGGACAGGAAGGGGCACGGTTAGTTTCAAACTTCTTGGTGTCAGATCCTTTATTCTGGAGGTCAGTCACGGTCAAGTAAGGAGTCTCTTGTAAACCTCCACCAAACAAACGTTACTGTGTGTTCTGACAATAAGGGGCAAAGTCTCAAGACTCAACCTTCACCCGAGGTCCAGACCCTGGCTAAGAGAAGGGAGTTCCTGCACCTGCTGGTTACCCTGCCAAGCAGCGTTCCTCCAGCACCCAGTCTGGGTCTTCCCACCAGTGCTGAAGAGGTAGCTGTCAGCTATGGCTCCCTCAGGGCCAGGTCCCCAGGTCCTGAACAGTGGTCATCACTGAGGGAGCCAGGCGCCCAGAATACAACTGGCCCTCAGACTCCTCAGGCCACCCAAATGTCAGTTACGGGGCCCAAATCCTGCAGAATGTAGCCCATGCAGATGGCTGCTGCTATTATATCTCAGAGCGGAAGACAGGGCAGAGGTTCACTACCACCCTGAGGCCTGGGCCCAGCCACTGGGTGTAGTGAGGGCTCTGGAGCCCTGGGGGACACAATCCCCAAACTGTTCCCTGCCTGCCCCCTCCCCCAGCTCACCCACTGGCCCAAAGCAGGGTGAGCTGGACCAGTCCCCTGGAAGAACAGGATCCGCCTCTTAACTCACTTTCTACCTGAGAACCACACTCCACTGACCCTTGGCTAAATCCCCTCACTAAGGGTCACTCATTGATGGTTATTTGTGGGTGGGGCTCACTGCAACATCAACCATCACTAACCGTCATTCATTGACAGTTATTTACGGGATGGCCCACTATGGCACTAACCAATCACTGAGCAGGACCACTGCACAGTGTAATGGCACACGGCAACCCCATGTGCTAAGGGCTCCACTCTATTACAGTTTTGCCGCTGCTTCCTTGACTAACGTCAATTCCAAGGTGGCTCTAGTGGTAAAGAATCTGCCTACTCAGGCAGGAGACCCAAGAGATGTGGGTTCCATCACTGGGTTGGGAAGATCCCCTGGAGAAGGAAATGGCAACCCACTCCAGTATTATTACCTGGAAAATTCCATGGAGAGGGGCCTGGCTGGTTGCAGTCCACGGGACACAAAGAGAGGGACATGACTGAGCGACTAAATACACACACACACACACACACACACACACACACACACACACATACCCATCCTTGACTAACTCTAAGTTTTCTGTGTTGCAAACGTACATTCTGCATAAGGCTCTTTATTCCATTTCTTCCTTTTCTCCTAATGGCTGAGGTGGAGATGGGGGTGTATGCTACTCAACTACAGGTGTTACTTTTCACGTCTGTAAAAGGCCTTGAAGTAATTCCCAAACTGGCTGCGCCTCAGAAGCCCATGGGGAAGCATAAACACAAGGACAAAGCCTCAACCCATTTCGAGATTCTGTTTGTGTAGTACTAGGATAGGGCGCCCCCAAAATCTCCCAGGTGATTCTGATACACTACCAGGTATTTCAGGTTCACCATACTTAGTCCACGGTTCCGTTAAAGACCCCGCCCCTGCCCCACCCTTTGCCCTCTACCTCCCCGTGACGTCGGCTCATCTCCCCTCCTTTGGTCCTTCCACTTGGTCTCGCCCAGCCCCGCCCTTCCCACTGCCTCTCCTGCCTCCCAAGATGGCTACGCCGTTGCTGGGCCCGGAGCCGTGGAACCGGGTGAGGATCCCTAAGGCAGGGAGCCGCAGCGCAGTGACCGTACAGGACCCAGATACGGCGCTAGGTGAGTGAGGCGCCCGGCTAGGGGCGCAGGCTTTTCTGGAGGCGGTGTGGGGCCGGCGCACGTGCACGGTGGGCGGGACTTCTGGAGCCCGCGGGACACTGGGAAGGGCCGAAGGGTCCGGGGCTAGGGAATTTGCCAAGGAGTTTCGTGGGGGCACCTGGCTTTACAGTTCTTCGCTAGATCCACCGTGTCTATCGCAGGGTCTGTCAGGGGCACCGAAGGCTCACGACCCAGCACCGAAATGGGGGAGAGGGGCGTACACAACTGTTGTCAGGGAAAAGTGCCGCCTGGGAACTCGGCGTTCACTCAGCCACCAAGAGGCGTGGTTAGCCCTCCGTCTCTGCCGCGCTCTGCCTCCGAAGGGCTGCGGGTCGTCGTCACTCAAGCACTATGCAATTAACCCGCAATTTTCCTGGGTCGCCCGTTCCTTATCTGTAAAATGGGGTTAGTTTTCCCTGGCTATCACCAGGTCTTTGGGAGGATCTAATGATGTCGTTTAGGAGAGCGTGCTCTAACAATGTTTGAATGGCACTGCGATTATTAGGCAGTAGGGCAGTAAGGTGGCGCTAGTGGGAAGGAACCCACCTTTCTTTTGGTAGAAGAGGTACAGGTTCGATCCCTGGGTCAGGAAGATCCCCTGGAGGAGGGCATAGCAACCCACTCCAGTATGCTTGCCTGGAAAATCCCATGGGCAGAGGAGCCTGGCAGGCCGCAGTCCATAGGGTCGCACAGAGTCGGACACGACTGAAGCGAGTTAGCACGCACACAGGTCAGTAAGAACTGGGTTGTGGGATTGAATCCTGGCTCTTCCCTCTGCTGGAACTGGGTGAGCAGTGGGGAATGTGTTAACATTTCTGGGCCTCAGCTTATTTTCAAATGGGAATAAAAATAGTACTTTATTCATAGAGCAGTTCTGCTGAAAGTACTATAGAGTAATAATATAAAGTATTATTAATATAAAGTAAAGTGAGTTATTTGGAACAGTGCCTGATATAGTAAATAATGATCAGTTCAGTCCAGTCGCTCAGTTGTGTCCGACTCTTTGTGACCCCATGGAATGCAGTAAGCCAGGCTTCCCTGTCCATCACTAACTCCTGGAGATTACTCAAACTCATGTCCGTTGAGTCAGTGATGCCACCCACCTCATCCTCTGTCCTCCCCTTCTCCTCCTGTCTTCAATCATTCCCAGCATCAGGGTCTTTTCAAATGAGTCAGTTCTTCATATCAGGTGGCCAAAGTATTGGGAGTTTCAGCTTCACCATCAGTCTTTCCAATGAATATTCAGGACTGATTTTCTTTAGGATGGACTGGTTGGATCTCCTTGCAGATGATCAGTTCAGTTCAGTCGCTCAGTCGTGTCCGACTCTTTGTGGCCCCATGAATTGCAGCAGGCCAGGCCTCCCTGTCCATCACAAACTCCTGGAGTTTACTCAAACTCATGCCCATTGAGTCGGTGATGCCATCCAACCATCTCATCCTCTGTCATCCCCTTCTCTTCTCCCCAATCCCTTCCAGCATCAGGGTATTTTCCAATGAGTCAACTCTTCACATGAGGTGGCCAAAGTATTGGACTTTCAGCTTCAGCATCAGTCCTTCCAATGAACACCCAGGACTGATCTCCTTTAGGATGGACTGGTTGGATCTCCTTGCAGTCCAAGGGACTCTCAAGAGTCTTCAACACCACAGTTCAAAAGCATCAATTCTTTGGCACTCAGCTTTCTTCACAGTCCAACACTCACATCTGTACATGACCACTGGAAAAACCATAGCCTTGACTAGATGGACCTTTGTTGACAAAGTAATGTCTCTGCTTTTTAACATGCTATCTAAGTTGGTCATAACTTTCCTTCCAAGGAGTAAGCATCTTTTAATTTCATGGCTGCAGTCACCATCTGCAGTGATTTTGAAGCCCCCCAAAATCTGACACTGTTTCCACTGTCTCCCCATCTGTTTCCCATGAGGTGATGGGACCAGATGCCATGATCTTAGTTTTCTGAATGTTGAGCTTTAAGCCAACTTTTTCACTCTCCTCGTTCACTTTCATCAAGAGGCTTTTTAGTTCCTCTTCACTTTCTGCCATAAGGGTGGTGTCATCTGCATATCTGAGGTTATTGATATTTCTCCTAGCAATCTTAATTCCAGCTTGTGCTTCCTCCAGCCCAGTGTTTGTCTGATGTACTCTGCATATAAGTTACATAAGTAGGGTGACAGTACACAGCCTTGATGTACTCCTTTTCCTATTTGGAACCAGTCTGTTGTTCCATGTCTAGTTCCAACTGTTGCTTCCTGACCTGCATACAGTTTCCTCAAGAGGCAGGTCAAGTGGTCTGGTATGCCCATCTCTTTCAGAATTTTCCACAGTTTATTGTGATCCACACAGTGAAAGACTCTGGCATAGTCAATAATGCAGAAATAGATATTTTTCTGGAACTCTCTTGCTTTTTCATTGATCCAGCAGATGTTGGCAATTTGATCTCTGGTTCCTCTACCTTTTCTAAAACCAGCTTGAACATCTGGAAGTTCACGGTTCATGTATTGCTGAAGCCTGGTTTGGAGAATTTTGAGCATCACTTAAGTGTGTGTGAGATGAGTGCAATTGTGCAGTAGTTTGAGCATTCTTTGGCATTGCCTTTCTTTGGGATTGGAATGCAAACAGACCTTTTCCAGTCCTGTGGCCACTGCTGAGTTTTCCAAATTTGCTGAAATATTGAGTGCAGCACTTTCACAGCATCATCTTTTAGGATTTGAAATAGCTCAACTGGAATTCCATCACTTCCACCAGCTTTGTTCGTAGTGATACTTCCTAAGGCCCTCTTGACTTCACATTCCAGGATGTCTGGCTCTAGGTGAGTGATCACACCATCGTGATTATCTGGGTCATGAAGATTTTTTTTGTACAGTTCTTCTGTGTATTCTTGCCAACTCTTCTTAATATCTTTTGCTTCTGTTAGGTCCATACCATTTCTGTCCTTTATTGAGCCCATCTTTGCATGAAATGTTCCCTTGGTATCTTGAATTTTCTTGAAGAGATCTCTGGTCTTTCTTATTATATTGTTTTTCTCTATTTCTTTGCATTGATCACTGAGGAAGTCTCTTTTCTCTCTCCTTGCTATCCTTTGGAACTCTGTATTCAAATAGGTATATCTTTCCTTCTCCTTTGCTTTTCGCTTCTCTTCTTTTCACAGCTATTTGTAAGGCCTCCTCAGACAACCATTTTGCTTTTTTGCATTTCTTTTTCTTGGGGATGGTCTTGATCCCTGTCTCCTGTACAGTGTCACGAACCTCCATCAGTAGTTCATCAGGCACTCTATCAGATCTAGTCCCTTAAATCTATTTCTAACTTCCACTGTATAATCATAAGGGATTTGATTTAGGTAATACCTGAATAGTTTAGTGGTTTTCCCCACTTTCTTAAAGTGTTTGGGGTACCTTAAATGACTCTGCAAAGTACTCATATGAAAGATTTTTAAAATCATGATAAAATGTGATATGATGTACATTCTAGTTTAATAGATGTTTTCTATGATTTCATGGTTTTGATATCATCAGTCACCATTTTCCTTCCTTTCTATGTCATTTCTTACATACTTAGAAACATTTAGTTATGTTCTTACAGGTGAAGCTGATTGTGTTAACTTGTTATTGATTTCTTTAAAACAGATTAGGAAAGATGCTTCTTTCAGTGTATTTTTGTATAATATACTTAATGTAGAAATGCATGTTAAGTCTTATTACTAAATATCTCTGCTTTAGACCTTTGCATTGCAGCTATAATTAAAGAATGCTACCGCATTACACTGTCACTGAAGAGTCGAACCTTAGATGAAGAGACAAATGTATTATGTGCAATCCTTTACAGCAATCACAACAGAATGGGCCGCCATAAGCCCCATTTGGCCCTCAGACAGGTAAGGAGAGAGCCCTGTATTTAAGATAAAACATTTTTACTTGGTGAAGATGGAGATTACACTGCTGCTTAACTTTTGTTATTTATGGAAATTGAAGTAAATTACTTGTGATTTACTTGGGCTTTCCTGATAGCTCAGTTGGTAAAGAATCCACCTGCAATGCAGGAGACCTTGGTTTGATTCCTGGGTTGGGAAGATTCGCTGGAGAAGGGATAGGCTACCCACTCACTCCAGGATTCTTGGGCTTCCTTTGTGGCTCAGCTAGTAAAGCATCTGCTTGCAATGCGGGAGACCTAGGTTTGATCCCTGGGTTGGGAAGATCCCCTGGAGAAAAGACAAGGCTACCCACTCCAGCATTCTGGCCTGGAGAATTCCATGGACTACAGTCCATGGGGTCGCAAAGAGTTGGACACAACTGAGTGACTTTCACTTCACTTTCACTTGTGATTTTTAAGTGTTCAGCCCACAATCACATGTGAGCTTTCATTTTTTTTTTTCCCCTGAAAGCATTTCAAAAAACAGTCTGTATTAGAAAAGAACTATGTTTGATTCTTTCCCAATCTTGTTTATAGTAGGTAGATAATTATGAAAAATATTCTTCATTATATACAATCTATAACAAATTACCACGCCTTTGTCTACTTTAAAGATTGTGTGATTTGATCAAAACAAAGTGTCGGATTAAGAAACAATTTTCCTGAGCATAATCAAAATCCCCAAATCATAAAAAGAACAAAGTAGCAATTTATTTATTGCGGTGGTAAAAAAATCTAATTGGCAATATATTAAATGAGTATATAACAAGTTGTGTAGTGTGTTGTGTATCTTTTGAAGTTTAAGACAAAATTGGGTCCTCTAGCTCAGGATTACATACACAGAGTAGAGCCTTCTAAGTTAAGTTCCATATATGCTCATTTATTTGCTCATTCATTTTATTAATTCTCCAAGTATTTTTGAAACTTTTTATGTGCCAGGCACTGTGCTTTGTGCTAGAGGTGTATGGGGTAAAAAAGACCGACATAATCTCCAACCTTAAACAGATTCATGTTCTTTGGTTAGTTTTCCACTCACATTACTTAAAGCAAAAAAGATGATTTCTTCACCAAAGAAAGATTTGCGGTTATAGTCTTTCCTGTTTTCTCCTCTGGAGCAGGTTTTATTTCCTTCTGAGTCTTTAACTCCAAAACCAAACTTGTTATCTCAGATTGAATACATGTATTTCTCCTCCTGGCTACCAGGTTGTCAATAATTATAGTCAAGAAAAATTTGGTGTTCTGTTTTCTCTGCTTCTTTCATGTAGCTCTCCCATGCGGTCAACTGATCAATGAAAACTTTCTAGTCCCTTTTAGTTATGGCCAAACTAAAGTTTAAAACCTTCAGTTTTTCGTTGACTTGTAATTCTGACTGATCTTTCCTCCTTCAGTCTTTACTCTACTGTGGCATGTTCATGTGTACCAAATCTAGGTTAATCATTCTAAAACACAGCTTAATTTTTAATGGTTCTCCATTGTCCCCTGAATAAAGAGCAGACCTCTTAGCTTAACTTAGCAGATCCTTCCTGATCTGCCTCTTCAGTTTTCTTAGCTCAGGCTTCTCTATGGTCTTCAATGTCATATATGTTGTATTATAAGCACCCTGAACTCTTTGTGAGTCTTCTGACTCACCACATTGGTTCCCTCCTCTGAACCTTTGCTTACCTGGTTCTGTACGTTTACAATGCCCAAGCTCTCCATAACTTGATCCTCATGTCTGCAGCACTTACAGACAGTGAAATTTAGTACTTAACAATTTACTATCTTGTTTTAATAGTTTCACTATTAGAAATCATGTTACTTCAGAAAAGTTTATTAATACAATCTTGAGAATAATCTTACATTTACTTTGGTCCTCTTTATAGCACCAAGCACATCCTGGCATATACTAAACTCTTAGTTATAACCTGATCTGAGAAATTTATTTGGCTGTGTAAATTTCAAATTTTTAACCAGAAGCAACTGCTTTGGGCTACAAGTTTCTTTACCCTTAAATAGGGTATTCTGTATATTTCTATACTTTGTATTCAGTGTATTTCTGTACTTTGAAATTTTGAATTTGTTTTCGTGTTCACATCAGTGGCTTAGTCTCTGTTACACATAAACATGTGACTTTGAGCTGGTCTTCCCCTTTCAGGTTGAACAGTGTTTAAAACGTTTGAAAAACATGAATTTGGAAGGTTCAATTCAAGATCTCTCAGAGTCATTTTCTTCTAAGTAAGTAGTCTAGTTGCTTTGTAATGGGCTTTGTGGTGGGCTGGAAACCTGGTGTCTTGCTGTGACCTCGCTTTAGACTTCCTTCATTACTGTTTGAATATAACCAATTATACCTTAGCTGTACAAATTTTATTTTAATAAAGGGCCCTTGGTATTTGTGGTAATCTCCCTCTGTTGGCTTGTGGGAAGGAATAGTGTGACACTGAAACCTGGGTGATGATAAACTGTTTTGAAACATAAGTGTCAGTTAACTTCTTTGAGTCATTATTAAACATAACTACCTCAAATTGAGCTTAAAGCAATTCTGTACTTGTTATATAAGTGTTTTATATTTAAGAATGAAAGTAACATACTTCTGTATTTTTTTCAAGTGAAAATCAGCCTATAAATACCAAAGCATGTGTCATTCCCAGCCAACCGGTGGTGGAACTGGTGTTGATGAAGATTTTGGGAGCCTGCAAGTTGCTGCTTTGCCTGTTGGACTGTTGCTGCAACACATTTCTGTATCCTTGAATCATCTAAAAAACTTTTTTCTGAACTTCAGTTGTTTGGATATATTTAATGGGCTTCTCAGGTGGCTCAGTGGTAATGAATCCACCTGCTAATGAAGAAGCTACAGAAGATGTGGGTTTGATCCCTAGGTCAGGAAGATCCCCTGGAGGAGGAAGTTTCAACCCACTCCAGTATTCTAGCCTGGGAAATCCCATGGACAAAGGAGCCTGTTGGGTTATAGTCCATGGGGTTGCATAGTCAGACATGATTGAGCACGCATGCAGGGATGAATTTAATAATATTTGTCTGAAAGCTAGGGAGTATGTAGTTTTTCATACTTTCAAAGCAGGAGTTATAATTTATGTGAATTCTTAAAATTTTGCTCTTTGGTCTCCTCTTCCTGGGAAGTGCCTGAAATAGCCGTTGCCAGGGATTTCTACCTCTATTTAATATGTATTATCCTAAAGGCATTGACAGTTAGAAATTCTTAATCTTAAAAGCTAACCCTTAGAAACCAAATTTATTAATGAAGCCTCTAGCAGAGTATGTATTACTTTTTTTTTAAAGCTTCAATGACTTAATAGAACATGTTTTAAGGCTTTAACTCCTTCAAGAAAATTCTGCATTCTGTGTGGAATTTTTTTTTCCCATAAATGTAACTCAACAAAATCTAAATTCCTTTGATTCCGTTTTCCAACTTTAACTTGAATCTTCAGCTTGACTGTGAAACATCTAGGTTTGCAAGAATTCATTATTTTAAACCTTGTGATGGTTGGGCTCGTGAGCAGGTTATGGTATGTATGTACGTTCCTTTGAAATCCTTCATTTCTTTTTCATTTCAGACTAGGTTTCTTATTAGTAGTCTTCATATTTGCTTTCCCATGGGATGTTGAAGGTGCAGAAATTGTTTCTTCATTTGATCAGAGTTTATTTGGGATGGATTGGGAAGCTAAGTGTTGACAGTTATGTCAAAAGACTAGGCTTTGAATCTGAATCCATGAGATCACTTCCACATTAAACTAAGCAAATGAATTCCTAGAATCCTGGAATTAAAAAAAAAAAAAGGTTCCTCTAATCATTCAGCTGAGCCATTTAGAATGAAGGTGTTCCTGGGCAGTCTGTATCATTTGTTTCTGCCACTAGATTTCTAATACTTAATGGCAATGACCTTTCTTATGTTTTCTAAATTCCTTTCTTCCACATGAACCACCACTGCTTTTTGAACCATAACTAATTGATGTAAAGAACACTGGTAATACTAGTTGCAAACCAAAGAGAATTTCCCTTGCATTTCACAATATATATTATGGAGCTTATCTGATGGATAATCAGATTCAAAATCTGCCCATTTGTGATTAGCTATAATTTGAATGGAAATAAAAAAAGAAAAAATTCTCTCTAATCCTAATTTTCTATCTTAACCTGGATATCTCAAGTACTATTTTCAATCATCTTGTTTTTTATTCTGCTTGTTTTTAGAGCTAACAATGTTAGAATTACTTATCATATGTTAGTATGGTTATCATGTTAGTAATGTTAGAATTACTAATCAATGTCAAACCTTATTCTTCCTTACAATGAAAATAGCTTTGATTTTTTAAATTTTAATAGTATATGCCTACTTGAAGAAACTTTTAAAAGTAGAAAAAATTCAAAGAACCTGAAATTTGCCTAAAATCTTATCATCTAGATAAAACCACATTTAAGATTTTGGTCACATCCTTTGAAATATCTCTCCATGTAGTACTGCATTTGGTTTTTTTTTTTTTTTTTTCATTTATTTTTATTAGTTGGAGGCTAATTACTTTACATCATTGCAGTGGTTTTTGTCATACATTGAAATGAATTAGCCATGGATTTACATGTATTCCCCATCCCGGTCCCCCCTCCCACCTCCCTCTCCACCCGATCCCTCTGGGTCTTCCCAGTGCATGCATTTGGTTTTATATAACATTTTGTACTTGGATTTTTCAGTATAAGCTGGATTAAATCTAGCTCTTTGCAAGTATCCACTGTAGCTTTTTTTTTTTTTAATCTATAATGGGCAGACTGATAGGTGTTATTTTCAGCTTTGAATCTGTTAGTTATTATGTAATCTGCAAATTATAATTACTGGCTAATTCATGAGCTCCTACTTCTTTCCCTAGGGTTCTGTATAAAGATGTTTTAAAAAGGCTGGTTTCTTTATATGAACCATTGTTTGGATTACTTCAAGAGGTCTCCAGGATTCAACCATTGCCTTACTTCAAAGGTTTTACCTTTCCTTCTGATATTGTTGAATTTTTAGGAGAGCCCTATTTTGAAGTCTTTAAGAAAAAAATGCCTACAGCTTTTGTAGCTAAAGGAGTAACTAAATTGCTAAATAAACTATTTTTAACAAAAGAGCAATCACAGAGGTCAGATGAAGAAACTTTACTTAGAATTTCTGAAAAAGCTAAACAAGTGAAGATCAATATACAGAATAACATGGATCTTGGACAACCAGTAAAGAGTAAGAAAATTTTAAAAGGTAATTTGCTTTGATGTGGCACATACTCTTAAACTCTCTTAATTTTAACTCACATTATCTTTAGAGAAGTATGGTATTAATAATGTGTGTTTTCTGAGCTTGAGCAGATTAAGTTCTTTCTTTTTGTTATAGCTTCATAGTTCTTTGTTTGCTTAACTCCATTTGTTGTCATGTACTTAAGAATTTGTTGATTTGAAAATAGTATGCCTAATTTTTTATCTGTGATTTATCTCCACAGAAAAGTCATCAGAATTTGATGTGAGAGCTTTCTGCAAACAGCTGAAACACAAAGCTATTCAGGTTTGTCTGGCTTATTTTAATATAGCTTATGATTTCTGCTAACTTGTAGTGTAGATGCCACTTACCAAGGGCAGAGGCTGAATCTTACTTCTGGTTTTATCCCCAGCTCTAGGCATAGTGCCATCTTAGTTCTCAGTCTGCTTCTGAATGAGTAGAGGCATTTCCAAGGGATCTGAGTGCATCTAGTTAATTCAGTTAATAGAATACCTTCAGAAACATTTTACTAAGAGTTTTGCTAGAATTTTAAAATGATCCTAGGAACCATCATAGGAGTGGATTATATGGGCTTAAGAATATGGGCTTTGAAGTCAGACAGATGGTTTGTGTCCTGGCTTTGGTTGGTACTAATTTGTGACCTTATGTAAGTTTCTTGACCTGTCCATACCTCCATTTTCTAGAAACAGTATGCACTTCATAGGGTTGTGCCAGTTTTAGTACATGTAAAGTATTCAGCACAGAGTCTAAAGTGTGGTAAGCATTTACTTGATGTTAGATGTTAGGTACTTCCATCGTCATTATCATCATCATCATCTTTTATCATGAGGCTTCTATTTCTTTTTCTCATCAGCATTTGACCTCTCCTCAGTCAGTGTCTGTAAACTCTTGTTTGTTCTGGATCTGACACGGATAAGAAGTTCTTTTACTCTCTTTTCAAAGTTGTTTCCTTCTATGGGCTATTTCTTCCATTCTATTCAAGAATTCTTTTCTAGCAAGTCAGTACTTTCTTGAAGGTTTACAAGGATTCTAGCTTGCATTTATATTTTGTCCAGTTTACAAGTTCTGGAGGAAGACGTCATCATCACCATAATACTTACACTGCATTTACTCTTTGCCAGGCATTGTTCAGAACTCTTTACATGTGTAAACTCATAATCCTTGTGAAAGTCCTGTGAGGTAGGTGCTGTTCCTTCCATGTTTCAGATGAGAAAATTAAGGCAAAGAAAGGACAAGAAATTTGTCCAGGCCAGACAGCAAATATGGGGCAGAACTGGGATTTGAACCAGGCAGTTTGGTTTCGGTCTTTGTCATTTAATATTATTTTTTGTTGTTGTTCAGTCGCTAAGTTGGGTCCGACTCTGCAACTCCATGGGCTGCAGCACACCAGGCTTCCCTGTCCTTGACTGTCTCCCACAGTTTATCATTCCACCAGTCTCCAAATAGTTTTATCAGCTCTCTCTTAATAACTATAGCTCTCTGTGACTCCTAAAACTTTCTGCAGTCCATCACCTGTTCCTGTGTGAGCCGGTTCCAGCATCCCTCTTATTTATGACCAATCACTATTTTATTTTTAGCATTTAGCACCAATATGCTTGGCGTGTTTTTGGGTCAAACTTTTATGGATTACCAACACAAATATTGATAGGTCTCTACCTTCTACTACTATTACTTGCTCTTCTTGAGAATGAGAAATTTGCAAGAAAGAAAGTTTTGAACAGAAGATGGAAGCAAACCTAGTAGGTAGCATATTTCAATAAACAGTAGTAGTTGATAAAATTCAAACTTGACTTCATACAGAAAAATGAAGTTGAAGAGACAGAGGTGCCACATCAAAAGATGGTTGAATTGGAATTGGAAATATTGCTCCGTTAAGCATTTTTAACATACATTCAGCAGTCATCTGCATTTTCACATTTATCAATAACATTTATGACCCATCATTGAGGAGGTGATGAAAAACAAGCTGTGGTAGTCCAGCATTAGAGGAAAAGGGCTTTTCAGTGATTTTGTCTCTCACCAGATAGACTTTGATCAATACTTAATTATGTGGAGTTTTATTCTTATGTGTAGATTAAATGGGCTTCCCTGGTGGCTCAGTGGTTGAGAATCCACCTGCCAATGCAGGAGAGGCAGGATTGATCCGTGGGTGGGGAAGATCCCTGGAGAAGGAAATGGCCACTCCGGTATCCTTGCCTGGAATATCCTATGGACAGAGGAGCCTGGCGGGCTATAGTCCATGGGGTCACAAATAATCAGACATGACTGAGAGACTAAACAACAACAGAGGTTAAATAAATATGTATGTAAATATTTATATTGTTACTTGTGTACAACTGAATTTTGCTATAGATGGGATCTATTGTAGCACAGAGGGGAAAAAATTGTATTAGGAGCAGTGAATAAAAATTTTTTTAAGCAAAAGGAAAGGAATTCCCTGGCAGTCTAGTTATTTCCACTGTATTTCCACTGCAAAGGGGCACCAGTCTGATCCCAGGGTTGAGGAACTAAGATCCCCAAAGCCAGATGGCACAGTCAAAAAAATTAAAAAAGAGAAACAGAAAGCATAGGGAACTGGAAAAAACTTTTTTCCTTCTTTGAAAAAGATGTATTTTCAAATGTTGATAGTGTGTGTCAACTTCTCTCTCTTGTTATATGTCAGTAATAGATCCAATATATTTTTCTCATCATTCTATATTTCAGGAGAAGAGCTTTGAGTTTAAATGTTCTCAATCCAAACTAAAGGCAGCCAAACATTCTTCTCAGAAAGCAATAGGAACTCCCTGTGTAAAAAGTCTTGTGCAAAGATTCCGAGAGGCTGAGACTTTCACACAACTTTCTGAAGAAATCCAAATAGCAATTCTGTGGTGTAGAAGCAAAAAACTGAAGGCTCAGACCACCTTTCTGGGTAACAAACTTCTTAAAAGTAACCGGCTTAAACATGTGGAAGCTCAAGGCTCTAGGTAGGTATATTATAAAAACTATATTCCTTTACTTCTTCTGTTATCTTTTAAGGCAAAAGTATATGTATTCAGCCTTTTTAACGTCCAGAATCCTGGGGACTAAAATTGGGGTGTATACTTAAAATGCAGTTTTGTTAGCTACTTTTATTGGGCAGAGCTAAATATATATGTCATCAGGAGGAAGTAAATTTGGTCCATTGGATTTACTCATTTCTACTCTTCACCATTCCATCCTTTTATTCAAAAAGTATCAGGTGTGTCTATGGTACGCTAACCTGCAGATACAACCGTGTGTAAGACAGATTTAATCCTCATGGAATTCTGCCTCTCTGGTAGGAGAGATGGCCAATCTGCCTGCAGCTTCAGTGGGATGAGGGTGTGAGAGCAGAAGATGCTTCCTCCTACAAGGCCACACACCAGACTCCAGAGTCAGCGTCAAGTAATTTCCATTCACAGGAGCTAGACTCTCCATGTATTGTTTCATCCTTTTGTGAGTCTTACATTCATAGCACTGCTTAAGGATGGTTATCTTTGTGAGCCAATATTCCTTGAAACAATACATGAAGTTAGATATTTTAGGGCTTTATGTTTTTATTGAACAAATAATAGATGCCTGTGGTAATAGTTTGAGACACAAACGGCCATAAAGGTCCTCATTGCCCCTTCACAGGGGCGATCACTGACCAATTTTTACGTATCCTTCAAGAAACACTCTGTGCGTCCACCATAATTTCCTACTATATTTATGGACATATATCTAGTCAGGGCTTTATAATGGTTTCCATGGATGTCACTTGGTCACTTGTTAAATTTTCTTTAAAAATTTATGGAAAAACAATACCTCTTTTAGTAAAAAAATATGATATATACTGAAGGTTTCATAGCATACTGAAGTTTTGACTAAAAGCTGTGGGAGAAGTTAAGGGTTTTTACATTACACTCTAGAGTGGAAGCTCAGCCTAAAATGGAGCTGTTCTGTTCAAGATTCTGTTTAAACTCAGGGGTAGATGAGGCAGAGATGCTAATTAAAAGTTAATCCAGATGGTAACAAACTGGTGGCTATTTGATTAAGACATTATTCTGCACCCCATAAAAATACAGTGCTCTTTCATTCTGCCCTGTTTTGATGTTTTAGTAACATGTTGTATTTGTACTACATTTTAAGTTTACTTAATGTCCACAATAACTCTATGACACGTGGTGGTATTCACATTTTGTAGATGAGTTAATAAGAGGATTTTACTCAGGGAATTAGAGCTGGAGATCTTGAACTCAGTACAGATCCTCTGATTCTTCTGTTTTTTTCATCTATTTCCATTTCAGTTGGGAAGTCCACCTACCCTCTCCTCACTTAAAAATTACCACTTATAGTAAGACAAAATGGTTTGGAAACAAAAGATCATGGATTACTGCGTTAAAATGGGCTTCCTCAAAGTTCTATATTGGTTTAAAAAGGAAGAGGGTACAGTAGGAGGTACAGACTCATGCTAATCTTTTGCAGTCTGACTGTCACAGTGAGGCAGTTAGCAGGGTACCAATGCACCTTGTGGCAGTATATCCTATTCAGAAGCAAAATACCTAACAACCAGCCATTTGAGTTCTGAATTCCCAGATTTGAAGATAATATGAATGCTGTCATTTTGCCTATGCTGGCATCCCTGTCTTCTCATTTTACATAAACTCCCTCTTCACTTTTATTCCTTTTTCCTTGTTCCTTTTTCCTGTTATTATGTTGAATATGAAGCCATTACTCCAGAAATGGGATGATGCATCCTAATAACTTTTCTATTTGTAATTCATCTTTTCCCCAGTTCTATTACATTACACCATTACATTACATCATATTACATTATGAATAGATTAGCAATTATCAGGAAGTAGCTTTGGCACTGAAATATGGCAGTTTAGCTGCCTTGCTAGTTGTAGGAGCTACTTTACTGTGGAAATGTAATGGGGACACATTTGCCCACAATCTAAATCAGAGGGAATTTGTGCTCTGAAAACACAGACTGGATATGAAGCTCCTATTTCCATGTTTTTCTTTATGATTCTGGAAATTGTACAGAGGCGTAGGACATATATTTTAATTGGAAGTTGGTAAAAAGGAGACAAAGTTTTTGAGAATGTCTTTCTGCATCTTAACAATCTAATTTCTTCTGTCTTTTAAAGTTTGCCAAAGAAGCTACAGTGCATAAAAACATCTATTTGCAACTGCCTTCTTCATGGCTTAGGTCTGAAAACTTCAAAGCATCACCTGAGACAAAGAAGATCACAGAATAAATTTTCACTGAAAGGAAGGAAACAGAGAAAGTTGCAGTTGACTCGTTTAAAGGAAATCCAGCAGCCCCCTCAAGGGACTCAGAGTGCTACAGATGTCATCATTAAAGGGAGACTCGCGGATTCTACTGATTGTAGGACTGATCTGTATCCTAACAATAAGGAAGTGAATAGGAGAGTTTCAAATCCTGTCATACAAACTAAGGAGAAACAAACTCATGAAAAGCTTACAGAAAGCAATGAAAATGAGATGGATTCTTGGACAATGATGCAAGTAAATAAACGTAACACATCAGGAACCACTAAGGAGACAGACGACATTGATTATATTTTTGCTTTAATGGGAGTTTAGAGGTTCATATGTAAAACTTTTAACCAGTTGCTCCAGTGTTCTGCTGCTTTAAGTAGAACAGTTGAGATGTGGAAAGATCTGGAAGTACCACTTGGACTCAGAGGAACTGCTTTAGTACAACACTGTACAACAGTTCATTTTAGTTCAATAAACTCTTACCATAGCTTTGTGTCATTTAATCGACAAATATTTGACTATTAGTCAATTTTTTACTTAAGCCCTGAGTAATTAGGTTTGTAAAACTTACATTGTGCCTTAGGTAAATGGGATGCAGGGGTGGGGTGTAGCAAGGAATCACCTAGAAGGTCACTTTGACCTTAATGGCTCCACTGTAGCTAAGTGCTCTTCTGAACACCAAGGTTTGTAGCTTTTAACAGCGGTACTGTCTGTCTTCTGTATATTAGAACTGATCATCAGTTTTGCCACTAAGTGTATTAGCAGGCAATGATTACAACCATTATTTCACTTAATTTGTTAACCTTATCTCATAGGAGGGCATATTAAAATGCTTTTGGAATTGTCCAAAAATTTGTAGGGGAGCTTGTTTATTTGGGTGCTAGTGATTGATTCCAAATAAATTTTTTTCCAGAAGGGATATAGAGTGACTTGCAGTTATACACAAAGTAGAACTAGGTGAGAAAGTTAAATGAAAAAGCTAAGGAAACACAAAATCAATCAACCTAGAAAAGTTAAAAATAGATTTATAATTTGGTGCTGATGCTATCATCTGATATTTGTATGGTGCTCATACAATTGCTCTGAGAAGGTAAATCCTACATATTTTCAAATAATGATGCGAAGTTTGAGGTTTCTTTCAAACATTCTAACTTTCTACAATTAGGTTAATAAGCTATTTTTCAAGCAGATTGTAGGCTTAAGTTTTATGTTTATATATAGTAATTTATACAGTGCCCTAGTATATACTGCATCTTCTTTTCCTCAGTCATCCTGCTGTTTTTTAAGTTTTCCTTTTTGTTCTTAATCTGGCCTTGTTCTTTCCTTGTCTGTTTTCTGTATATTTTCCACTTACTTACTATACCAGTGGTTCTCAAGCTGTAGGGATGTCTTGAGAATCACTTAGTGAGTTTGTTTAAAATGCCGATTTTGAGTCCCTTCCAGAGACTGATAATCATGGCTAGGGGACAGGATCAGAAATCTGCATTTTTAGTACGGGGCTCAGGTGATTTTGATGCAAGTAACCCAAAATACAGTTAGATAAACACTGGTTTAGCTCCCTTCTTTCCCTGAAGCCTTGCTAAGGCAATCTCTAGTCACTTTTTATTAGTTCATCTTTCTCCTGGTTTCCTTCCAAGTGGTACAGCTACTTAATACTTTAAGACATGGACAATATCGAGGAAGTCCCCTTCATGACAAGTCTAGAAATAGCCATCAGATTCTAAGATTCGAGATACAATCTTGCTTCTGCTTTTATGTGCATGTGACACTAATCATGTACAAATAGCAGGTTTCTTTGGGCTCAGTTCCTCCATCTGAAGTGGTATTACTGTCCAATAATCATAAACCTGTACAACTGGAAGAGACTTTGGAGATCACCCTTCATTGTATACAACAGAGTGGTTCAGTGAATTGTCTATAAGGAGGTGAAACTGGATTAGACTATAAGCCTAGCATTTTTTTCCTATTTCATTAATGTTCCTTTGGAGTATGTTTATCTCCTTTTCCCATCTGCCCCTTAAAATCCTGGGAAAAACAGTAAAGAGTTTCATGTCTCCATAAGTTGGTAAAAATAAGAAACATAGTATTCTATATATATTTTTTCCAAACAAACTCAAATGTTTTAAGTTTTAAAAGTGAATTCTTAAATATACAAAACCATAACTTACCCAGTAAATTAGATTAGAAAGTAACTGTTAGCATCATCATAGTAAATACCAATTTAATCCCTTCTGGTGGCATTAACACACTCTGGCCATTTGTAAGAGCAGTGTGGTAGACCTCTCATGTGTCACTTCAAATCTTGGCCTCTTGCTGCAGCCACTACTATGATAACCAGTCTCAAGCAGGATTGGACAACTACACCTTGCCTCCTGGCCTCTGACAAGCTACAGGAACTGCTTGGCATTTGGGCATACACAACTTGGAAGAGGTATGGGGGCTGTCCTCTAATCCCCCTTCAAAGACAATTCAGAGGCACATTTCATAAGGTTCCACAGATCCGTCAAGATCAAGCCCTAGTGCTATGTTGTTTCCAACTCAATGCATCCTTGATTGGCTTTCCTTCCATCTGTTTCATTTTCCTTTCATTCCTGTTTCCTGGAATCACATCCCCAATAAACTATTGGACACAAGCTTTTGTCTTGGACCCTCCTTTTAGGAGAACCAAAGTCAACGCTAAGACAAGCTGTAAAGTAACACTCGCAGGCAGAAAGATGACTTTTAAGATAATTTTGTTGTTACGATCAATATATATTTTACTTGGTGAATGCCCATATTAAAAGTTTTTTTTTTCCTTCTTAAAGTTTAAATCACTGCTGGTTAGAATAAACCAGTAGTAGTAACTATAAAACTGAAAACTTATTCAGAACTGAATTTTCTAAACGTCAAAAAGTTGTTTTATAGCATTCATTTTTTATCCAATGCTATTGCTGTAACATTTTAATATTCAGCCTCACTCTGAAAAGCTAAACCACTTGTATGACTAGGTCAGTAACACCTTCATAAAAATATTTTCCACTAACATTAGTCCAAAGTAAGGCTTTATCTTTCCATTCTGAATCCTAATGGGAAGATTCCATTTATAAACTGTACCAGCAACTTTTTTCTCTTGCCCTGTGCAAATCAACTTTCATACCTAAAACTTTCTTTTTTGGTCTTAACCTAGATAAATGTTACTTCCTCCATGACAGGATGTATTCTATGATAAATCTACCCATGAGTTTTGCTATAAAATTGGTTTTGCTTTACAAATAAGTAGAATAAATAGATGTTCTTTTCATATTTTAATCTTCATAGCTTCTGAGGTAGAGTTACAAAAGAAGTTCAGAAACATCCAATGTATAATAAATATTAGAACTGAACTTGAATTCTGGTCTTCTGATTCTGAACCCTGTGAAAGTGACTGACCTCAGCCTGAAATAAGTGGTATTTCCATTATGGACTGATTGAAATTTTATCAAGAATAATTTTTGTTATATTCAAATGAGGTCTCCAAAAAAAGATAAGTTATAGTCATACATATAAAGACCCTGATGCTGGGAAAGATTGAAGGTAAAAGAAGAAGAGGGTGGCAGAGGATGAGATGGTTAGATAGCACCAATGACTCAATAAATATAAATTTGAGCAATCTCTGAGAGATAGTGAAGGACAGGGAAGCCTGATGTGCTGCAGTTCATGGGATGGCAGTCAAGACACAACTTGGTGACTGAACAACAACCTAAGAATTTACCTTCAACCCATCTATCACTGCTTAACAAAAAAGTAGCCCATTTTTACCTAGTGCATTGTAATATTTAAAAAAATAGAGTAATGGATATTCCTTTAAAAGACAAAAACCCAATAAATAATATGGCAAACTGTCATCTACACAGTAGGGGCTACCCTGATGCTCAGACGATAAAGAATCTGCCTGCAATGCAGGAGATGCAACTTCAATCCCTTTGTCAGGATTCCCCGGAGAAGGAAATGGCTACCCACTACAGTATTCTTGCCTGGAGAATGCCATGGACAGAGGAGTCAGGCGGGCTACGGTCCATAGGGTTGCAAAGAGTCAGACACGACTGAGTAACTAACACTCTCACTATTATCTACACCGTAGGAAACAGATTTTCATTTTATGGACTTCTATGTGCTCCTGTTTGTCAGTTTGTTAAAAACTGCTGGTACCTCTTCTAATGAACAGCATAACTCAATCATGTATAAACCTTTCTGCCCCTATAGGCACAAATTCATTCTTCCTTTGGAAATATGCAGGTTTTAATGCTGAAATGATCCTTCTGCAAGTTACAGATACACAACACTTAAAACAATATTGAAATTCTGTCTTTAACTGCAGTTGGCACAGACAATTTTGAATCTTCAGCTAAATTGGAAGCCATTAGTCTTAAGATTTCCTGTTATATCAGCTATAAAGCATCTCAGCAGATGGATTCCAGAATAGGTCACAGCACTGTGGGGAAAAATAAAAAGATCATTTTATTCCTTACTTCAGAGGTAGTAACAGATCTGAATTCACCTAATTTAAAATCTGTTTACAAACACTTGTGAGTTCTGGGTGTGAAACGGTATCTTAATTTGTCCTACCTTCCTCTCTTCCCCGGCATCTCTTGTAATATTCTAAATCTGGTGATCCACATCATCTGATCTATTTCCTTCATGATTCTAAAAACTTCACATCTACTATTTTGGTTTTTATTTTCCAGACCAAGTTATTATTATTGTGGTATAATTGACATACAACATTAGTTTCAGGGATATAATGATTCAGTATTTGTATATATTGCAAAATGATCACCACAATAAGTCTAGTTACACCTGCCACCATTTATAGTAAACAATTTTTTTTTTTCCTTGTGGTGAGGACTTTTACGATCTACTCTCTTAGCAACTTTCAAATATGCAATACAGCATTACTAACTGTGGTAACCATATTGTATATTACACCATCCTCATGGTTTATTTTATAACTGGGTTTGTACCTTTTGACCTTCACCCATTTTTCTTACCCCCAACCTCTACCTCTGGCAACCACAATCTCTTCTCATCTGAGCTTGTTTTTTTAAATTCCACATGTAAGTGAAATCACACATTATTTGTCTTTCTCTGACTTACTTCACTTAGCATAATGCTCTCAAGGTCCATTCACATATTCTCAAATGGCAAGATTTCCTCCTTTTTGGTGGCTGAATAGTATTCCATTTGTTTATACACAATGACCCTTGAAAACCATGGATTTAATCTGTGTTTATCCACTTACATGTGGATGTTTTACAATGGTAAATACCACAGCGTTACATCCAGTTGGTTGAATCCAGGGATTTGGAAGAAATATGGTTATGGCAGGTCAACTATAAGTTATACTTGGATTTTTGACTGGGCTAAGGGTCAGAACCCTTAACCCCTCACATTGTTCAAGGGTCAACTGTACAGTACCACATCTTCTCTGTCCATTCATCCACTGAGGGACACTTAAGTTGTTTCCAAATTTTGGCTATTAAAAATAATGCTGTAACTAGCATGGGGGTACACATATCTTTTCGAGTTAATGTTTTCAGTTTCTTTAGATGTATATCCAGGAGTGTAATTCTTGGATCATATTGTAGTTCTATTTTTAGTCTTTTGTGGAATCAATACTGTTTTCTTTAGTGACTACACCAATTTACATTCCTACCAACAGTACACAAGGATTCCCTTTTTTCTATATTCATGCCAATACTTATGTCTTATCTTTTTGATAACAGCCATTCTAACAGGTGTGAGGTGATATCTCACTGTGGTTTTGATTTGGATTTCCATGATGATTAGTGATGTTTAGGATCATTTCATGTACCTGTTAGCTATCTGTATGTCTTTGGAAAAATGTCTATTCAGATCCTGTGTCTATTTTTTAAACCATTTTTTTTTTTAACCATTGAGTTGTATGAGTTCTTTATATATTTTGGATATTAACCCCATCAGATATATGACTTACAAGTATCTTCTTCCATTGATTAGGCTGACTTTTCATTTTGTTGATAATTTTCTTTGCTGTGCAGAAACTTTTAGTTTAATATAGTCCCACTCACTCATCTTTTCTTTTGGAGTCAGATCCAAAAACTCAACACTTAAGAGTGATGTCAAGGAGCTTACAGCATATTTTCTTCTAAGAATTTTATGGTCTCATGTCTTACATTCAAGTACTTTTCCATTTTGAGTTAATTTTCATGTATAGTATAAGACAGTAGCCTAGTTTCATTCTTTTGCATGTGGTTGTCCAATTTTTCCAGCACCATTTATTGAAGAGACTGTCCTTTCCCCATTGTATAGTCTTGACTCCTTTGAAAATTAACTGCTCATATATGCAGGGGTTTATTTCTGGGCTCTCTATTCTGTTCCACTGACCTATATGTCTGTCTTTATGCCAATACCATATTGTTTCATTACTACAGCTTTTGTGACACAGTTTGAAATCAGGAAATGTGATACCTCCAGCTTTGTTCTTTCTTAAGATTGCTTTGGCTATCCAGGGTCATCTGTGGTTCCATGTAGTTTTTTCCATTCAATTTCTGTGAAAAATGCCATTGGAATATCCTATATTTTGCTTTTTATTTCCCAGACTGAAATTCTAATCTCTTTAATCTGTTCTTTTTGTGAGAAAGATTAAATTACCATGATAATAGACTTTTCATGACTTAAAAAAAAGTCACTGTCACCATTATTGTGTCTATTATTGATCTGTCTTACAGTATCTATCCATATCCTTTCATCCATTTGTCAGCATGGAAGTGAACACATGGTTTCTTGGGATACACAGAGTTTTATGAAGACACTATGACTTTTATGGATGCAGGTATGGTGTATATGTGTATATAAAACAGGTAAAATATTCTCTGCTATATTGCTAATTCTCTTTGATAAAGCTGCCTCCATACTGATTCTCAATTATAACTGAAGTTACACATGTATGGTTTAAAGAAGAAATACAAGTTGGATAGTCTACACACTAACTATGGCACCATAAACTTATTTGCAACATTTTTGTCAGTTCATGATTTTCTTTGTCCTAAGAATCAGTTCTCATTTGCGTGAAAACCACAGAAGCAATTATATTGTGCCTACTTATATATTTCTTCCATACCAGTTATAAAAACAGACTTTTGATCCCAGCATCAAACTTTAGGGGCCTTTCGTCAGTTTTATTTCTCTAACTCAGTTGGGGCAGAGTTCAGACATGAAGGTGAGCACTTAAACTTTTCCCAACAAGCTTAAAAGGCCACACCTTGCTGGACTACATGTCTACGCACACTTCCACCTTTCTCTTACCAAGATCATACAGGAAGAGGAGAAAATAAAACCTGTCTTAGTTTATAATAATTATTCTCTAAGTCAAATTCCCTTTTGGAGGGATGTACTGGGGCTTGGTCAAGCAAATAGAAGCAAAGAGTATAAATAACTCTACTATCTGAATTAGGTTTTGAAAACTACAGAGTACAGCCTGACAGCTTCCTGTATGTGGTCACTGTGGTATCCTGAACGTTGAAGTTCTTGAAAGCTAGCACCTCCTGTATGTGTCTCAATTCATAAGACTTTGAGTACTGTGTGGCTTCTGCAGTACCTTAGTCACTTAGTCAGTATGGTGGCACAGTGATTCAAAGGTCATGCAGCAGAAAATGCCAGCCTATCTAAAGAAGGGAACACCTCTAAAAAGTACTGAGAATCTGTTAGTTCAGGTTCTTGGCCTGACCTTGCCAATTGACTGACTGACTTCTGGGAAGGAAAGAAACTAATTTTATTATGTGGTTAATATATGTACATCAGTCACAATATATTTTATTTAATCCTTCTAACCATTACATTTTCCTCAAAAAATGAAATAAGTTACTTTAAAAGCTATTGCCAAGAAGTAGAAAAACCATGTAAAACCATGGCTGTCTGACCCTTGAGGTCCATGCTCTTTCTATATCAGCAAATGCTTCTCTGAAACTCCCTTCACTTCTCTGACCTATAATGTATCTGTGAAACAGAGATGCTTACTTTGTGGATCAATTAAGTGTTTAGAATGATCTAGTGACATAACCTTCTCCAAGACCATCTGTTTTCAGATAGCTCTAGTTGTTCTTAATGTCAAGTCACAATAGAACTTGACTGAACTGATGGTATACAGCTTAAAGCAGTGTGAGACTACTGTTTGATCACTCCCTTGTTTTGAACACTAAAATTATAACACTGTAGCTCAAGAAAACCTTGTCAGTTTTTCCCCAGCCTCACTATATTATTTAACTCAGCCTACCGTCAACTAATAATAAATGCAGCTGTTGGGCCATAATTGCCCATCTTGTGTTTATTTTACCTTTTCAGCTGAAGTCTCATTTCCTTCTTATTAAACATTTAAAAGAAAGCAATTATTTTTCTGAGACAATGCTCAGGGCTCTAAGAAGAAACAGGATTTTATTCCTGCCTATAGGGGTTTCCACTGTATCTATCAGACACAGACAAATGAACAGGATAAATACTTAAATGTAAGTCAAGGGGGAAAAGCATTTTGTAGAAATGAATGAAGACAGATTCAACTGCATATTCATACAGACAATTGTGATCTGGATCGGTAGGGACGAGAATGACGGCTTAGAGGAGAGTTTCATGTAATTTCTTGTAGAAACTATCATAGTGCCTTCCACAAAGAAGTTAGAGTCAGAAAATCACACAGGAGTGGCACTGTATTTCTGCTATAATACAGGTTACTTACTGTATCCAAAGTGTACACTAAAAGTAAAAACTCATGTTTCATTGCTAAACCACATCTAATACCTCAAAAATTGCTGGCTCAGGAAATAACCATCCTGTCTGCTACTGATGCTTAATTCTAGCTTATATGAAGCATTTCTTCCTTACATATGGTGCTTTAAAAGGAAAATTCTTATCCTTTACAGCTTGATGTGGTCTAGGGTTGAAATAGGCTGAAGTAGAAAGATTATGAAGATACTACAGGGAAGATTCAGCAAGAATCTGCAGACAGAAGAAAGAATAGAGGAAAGGAAAAAAATAAGTGTTGATGGGTTGTACCAATAAATTATGGCTAAGTGCAGAGTCTTCCAAACTCCTCTAATCTTAAAAGGATACCTCAATTTCAGAAACACTGATTGAATGCTAAAGGTTGTTAGCACGTACAGTTATATGTTAGTACATAAAGACAATTCAACTCTTACCTTACAGGGAACAACTGAGGAAAACATCCTTGTGTTTTAGTGTCAACAAATTTCTGGATCTGAAGCACTTGTTTTAAAAGATGTCCCTTGGAAGATTTGTCAATTTTTGTTAATACCATCTGTAGGAAAACAAATATTTAGGCATTAGAAATAAAGTACAGGTGACCCTTGAGCAACATGGGCTTAAAATGCAAAGGTGCACTTATATGCAGATATTTTCAACAGTAAATACCACAATATTACATGATCTGTGGTTGATTAAATCCATGGATATGGCGCTGCCAATATGGAGGAACCACCAATACAGAAGAACCTTAAATAGGAAGGGCTGACTGTAAGTTAAACTTGGATTTGCAACTGAAAGGAGGGTTGGCGCCCCTAATTCCCATACTGTTCAAAGGTCAACTGTTATTTCTTAATATACAGTTTTATACATTTTAGTTACAAAATTTCAGTAAAACTAGGTGACCTATGCAAGTTTCTTAATCTCTTTGTACTTGTTTCCTCGTCTATAAAAATAAAAGCAATACCTTCTAAAGGAGCTTCTGTAAAGATTAAATAAATTAATATATGCAATATATAAAGCATACACTATGTATTTGCTGTTTCCAATGCTTTAACCATACAGGGCCATAATATCTTGGATTCAAGACCAGTGTATAGAACCCTGGGGCCATATTTGCCATTGCTATACACCAAATGTTTCATGTGATCACTATTTATTTTGTGGTCTAAGACAGAGAAGTGTTATTAGCTTCATACACATAAAACTGCCAATTTATAATCATTTTTGAAATATTGAATTGTTCTACCTTATATGTTAAATTTAAAGGAAAAATTAGAAATCAGGTTATTTGTAGGTTGTAGCCACTGTGGTTATATTCCAACTTAAATAAAGATAATACTCCAAGTAAGCCTAGAATTTACTAGGGTTAACAGCAAATATAATACTTTAAATAACTTACTTACTCAAAGACAATTACATACTAGAGAAAGATCAAGGTGTGATGATTACAAAATTAATTAAAAGGTAAAAACCTTGATGTATTTTTCAGAAGTTTTCCTAGGAAATCTCTATAAAATTAAATTTCTTGACTAATCATTTATGCTTTTCAGTTATAAAAATATATAAATGATTAAAATAAAATATAATGATCATAAATCAACTATACAGCATAAAAAATATTAATGGCAGGAGAAGCAGAAAGTAGAAGTCTTTCTTCATAAAGATAAATATGCTGATACCTAATTCCTCTATCACAACTTCTTTTACAAAGAAAAAATTTTATATTTTCTTAAAAGTTAAAACTGAAGAAAAAATATGATTTCACAAAATGATATCTATGATATCAAATTAGGAGTAAATTATTAAATTATCAATAAAACTGGTTGGGGGCGGGGAGGAGCCAAGATGGCGGAGGAATAGGACAGGGAGACCACTTTCTCCCCTACAAATTCATCAAAAGAACAATTGAATGCAGAGCAAACTTCACAAAACAACTTCTGATCGCTAGCTGAGGTCATCAGGCGCCCAGAAAAGCAGCCCATTGTCTTCGAAAGGAGGTAGGACAAAATATAAAAGATAAAAAGAGAGACAAAAGAGCTAGATATGGAGATCCGTCCCGGGAAGGGAGTCTTTTTTTTTTTTTTTTTTCAATTTTAGAACATTTTATTCAGCCTCAAAAAAACCCTTTATCTACACCTGCCCTCCAATCTTCCCATCCCCCTCAGTCCTAAGCAACCGCTAATCCATTCTGTGTTTCCACAGAGTTGCCTTTTAGGACACTTCATATAAACAGAACCACGTAATATGTTATCATTTGTAACTGGCTTCTTTCACTGAGCATAATGTTTTCAAGGTTTATCTGAGTGGCAGCATGTTTCAATACTTCATTCCTTTTTATAGCCCAGTAATATACCACTGGATGGATATATGTGCCATGTTTGCTTTATCCATTCAGCAGGTGGTGGGCATTTAAGTTGGTTCTGCATGCGTGCATGCACGGTCAGTCACTTCAGTTGTGTTCAACTCTGTGCGACGCTATGGACTGCAGCCTGCCAGGCTTCCCTGACCTTGGGATTCTCCAGGCAAGAATAGCGGAGTGGGTTGCCATGCCTTTCTCCAGGGTATCTTCCTAACCCAGGGATCGAACGTGCATCTCTTATGTCTCCTGCATTGGCAGGCGGGTTCTTTACCACTGTTGCCACCTTTGTTCTACCTTTTGGGTATTATCAACAATGCTACTATACTATCCACATTCTTGCAGAAGTTTCTGTGTGTACATAGATTTTCTTTTCTCTTAGGTATAAATCCAGGTAGATTGGGTCAGATGAGAGACCTATGTTCAACTATTTGAGTAACTGCCAAACAGTTTTCCAGAGTGGCTGTACCGTTTTACACTCCTCCCAACAGTGTATAAGTGTTCCAATTTCTCCATATTCTCAGTAACACTTGAGTATTTGTTTTCTGATTTCTAGTGGGTATGATGTAATATCTCATTGTGGTTTTGATTTGTATTCCCTGATGACTAATATGTTGAGCTTCTTTTCATGTACTTCTTGGCCCTTTGTATATCTTCTTTGGAGAAATACTTAATCTGAATAACAGTTAACAGTTGCCCATTAATATTAATCTAGTTAATACAATTAGATTACTTTTATTGTTGAGTTGTTAAAGAGTTTTTCATATATTCCAGATACAAGTCCTTTATCAGATATGATTTGCACATATTTTCTTTCATTGTATAGATTAGATTTTTACTTTCTTAATAGTGCCATTTGAAACACAAAGTTTTTAATTTTGATGAAGTCAAAATTCATCTTGCTGCTTGTGGTTTTGGTGTCATATCTAAGAAACCATTGCCTTGTCCAAAGTCACAAATATTTACTCCTATGTTATCTTCTAAGAGTTTTGTAGTTTTTGCTCTTACATTCAGGGCTTTGATCCATTTTGAGTTAATCTTTATATATGATGTGAGAGAGGGATCCAACTTCATTCGTTGGCATACAGATATCCAGTTGTCCCAGCTTCATTCATTGAAGAGAAATTCTTCCCCAACTGAAGAGTCTTGGCACCATTATCAACGGGAAGGGAGTCTTAATAGAGGAAGTTTCCAAACACCAGGAAACCCTCGCACTGGTGGGTCTGGGGGAAGTTTCTGAATCTCGGAGGGCAACCTAACTGGGAGGGGAAAAATAAATAAAACCCACAGATTACGTGCCTAAAAGCAACTCCCAGCAGAAAAGTAACCCAGACACCTGCATCCGTCACCAGCAAGTGGGGGCAGAGAGGAGCGGGCGGCATTGCTTAGGGTAAGGACCGGGCCTGAGTGCCCTGAGGGCAATCGGAGGGAGCTTTTGTGAGTTACCAACTTAAACTGTGGGACAGCAAAAGAGAGAGAGAAAATTAACCAGCCCGAACAGGCTGTTCATAGAACTAAGGGACAGAGCAAGTTCAGAGGAGCTAGGCAGCTGTGGACCGGCCCAGCTCCGCAGGAGGCAGGAGGCAGCGGGGAGGGGAAAGGGGCAGGCTCGGCCCCAAGGACTGCATCCCCTACCACACTGCAAACAGGCCTTCAGTTTCTAACCAAAGACTTCCTGAGATTCTGGATGGTCAACATCCACCGGGAGGGTCGCAGCTAGACACAGGGCGCACGCACCCGACTGGCACGGGCTGGGACTGGAGCTGGGGACTCGGAGGGGAGAAGGCACACGCACCCGGGGAGAGTGCGCCCGTCAAACTCCTGGCTGTCTGAGCTGCTTGGACCGGGGAAGGTACAAAACGCAGGCGCAGCCGAGTCTGCGCTTTTGTGGAACACCCGAGGGCTGGAACCGCGCACAGCGCAGGGCACGGCACACTCCATATAGAGCAGCCGGAAGCCTGAGCAGCGTAAACAGGGAAAGCAGCGCCAGTCCCTCCCCGCAGCGCGACGGAACTAGCAACCTGAACAAGAGACCACCTCCGCCCGCCTGTTTCAGGGCAGAAATTAGGCACTGAAGAGACTGGCAAACAGAAGCCAAATAAACAAAGGGAACCGCTTCAGAAGGGACCGGTGCAACAGATTAAAACCCCTGTAGAGAACACTGACTACACCGGAAGGGGCCTACAGATATCAAGAACTGTAAGCTGGAATGAGGAGCTAGCTGAAACTGAACCGAAACCACACTGACCGCAACAGGTCCAGAGAAATTCCTAGATATATTTTTACTTTTTTTTTTAATTAAAAAAATTTTTTTTTCTTTTCTTTTTTATTTTTTCTCTTTTATTTTCTTTTAAAATTCCTTATTACCCCCCCCCCATTACTCCTTAACTTTCATTTTCATAGATTTTTGCGATTTTTTTTAATTAGGAAAAATTTTTTTTCTTGTTATTTTGTTTTACTTTTTTCTTTTTCTTTTATTTCCTTTTAAAGTCTTCTATTACTCCTCTACTACTCCTTAATTTTCATGTTCATTTCACTATAACCTTGCAAAAAAAAAGCCCTATTTTTAAACCAAACTTCATATATATTTCTAAAATTTTTTGTTTTTGTTTTTAATATTGTATTTTTAAGAGTTTAACCTCTACTCTAGATTTTTAATCTTTGTTTTTCAGTATGTGATATAAATTTTGGACTTTTAAGAATCCAAATTTCAGTTCCCATTTTTATTCAGGAATGTGTTGATTACTCTCTCCCAATTCTGACTCTCCGTTTTCTACCTCAGAACACCTCTATTTCCTCCTTTCCCCTTCTCTTCCCAGTCCAGTTCTGTGAATCTTTGTGGTGTCTGGGCTACGGAGAACACTCCGGGAACAGACAACTGTGTAGATCTGTCTCTCTCCTCTTGAGTCCCCCTTTTTCTCCACCTGCTCATCTCTTATCTCCCTCCTCCCTCTCCTCTTCTTCATGTAACTCTGTGAACCTCTCTGGGTGTCCCTCATGGGGGAGAATCTTTTCACCATTAACCTAGAAGTTTTATTATCAGTGCTGTATAGTTGGAGAAGTCTTGAGACTGGAAGAAGAAGACTGAAATCCAGTGGCAGGAGACTTAAGCCCAAAACCTGAGAACACCAGAAAACTCCTGACTACACAGAATATTAAGTAATAAGAGACCGTCCAAAAGCCTCCATACCTACACT